CTGGTGGGCAACCAGCATTTACTAGTTGCTGTGAAGCTGCACCGTTTCCTTGGATGGACGTGAATGCAGGTTGTGTGCTTCATGCCCAATAGCCAATGCCTAAGAGTCCACGGCAGCCTGTCCTCAGGCTGCCAGAGCTCCTTTTGCCTCAGTGCAGAGAGCTAGAAGTGCCAGGGAAGTGACATCCCCAGGGGCAGCCCTTAATGATGACTGACAGGTGCAGGTGTCAATACCCATCCACCTGTCCCCGTGGGGGACAACTCTCAGGTGTGACTCAGATTGTTTCCACAAGTCTCCCACCTGACTCAGCCAACGTTCCTGTCCTGGGACTTTTCTTGATTTCACCCCTTGACTGGCCCTCTCTCCTTTCTTGTTTCTCCTCTGCATTTGTCTACATGTTTTTCCTAGGACCACTTCCTAATAACATACTTTCTGACAAATCCTCATTTCAGGATCTATTTATGGAGAACTCCCCGACCCAAGAAAGAGAAGCAAAAAGGAGGTAGCAATTGTTCTTGGTCTTCATGTTACTACAAAAAGCGATGCAATGGGTCAGAAGTCAGTCATTATGAACAACAAATTAATTACACTTGTTATAAATTAGAGTGCATTCAAAATTGTCCTGTAACACGGTCACTCTCTCACTCGCACTGTGAGATGCTTTATGAGTGGGGAAATGGAGGCAGAACTCCTGCTTGCTGGTTTGCACACCACTGCTACCTGTATCATGCCAAGTCTAGATAAACCCTGGGCATGGGTCTTACATGTAAACGTCAACTGTTGTGTTTTGCTGTGTGAAAAAAGTTGAGACATGTGGATCAGAAAATTTTAACTTCACATCTCCTGGAGTAGGTTCCCAGGAGTGGGGCTGGGAGGCCCCGGCTCCTCCAGGCCCACACAAACATCACAGTTTCCTCTCTCAGGAATGCCTTCCCCTCTCATCTAGTCCTTTCTCACAAAACACACCTCTTCCACGAAATTTCCACAGACTGCTTCCTCGCTCCACTCGGCCCAGCCTGAGTTCTCCTTCTTTGGCACTGCGGAAAGTGGTTTTGTTGGAACCACTTCCTTAGCACTTGGACACTCCTCCTTGGACACTCCCACCCCCAAGCTGGCTGGAGCCTGAGTTTCTAGCACAAATCACAGGCCGGTTGCCCAGGAGCACACTGGGAGCCTTAGCATGGGTGGGAGGTAGGGGTGGGGGCTGGTCCTGTTGCCATAGCGTCACGGCTGTGGGCAGGCGAGGATGGAAGTCCCCCAGAGCTCAGTCAAGTGTGGACACCAGGGCATGCATCTGCCCAGCGGCCCCGCCAGGCTGGGAGCCTCGCCCTGCAGGCCCCTTCCTCGGGTCTGGGCCTGCACCGTGGGCATGGAAGGGATTCTGACCCAGTGCCCTGCCCTAGCCAGTTTATACAGTTAGACTAGGTCGTGCCGGCTCCCTGGCTCCCTGCCCTGCTTCTGACATGGAACTGCCAACACCCCATTCCCCAGACAGAGCTCATGCTTATGGCACCTCTTGACTCAAGACTGGGTCTTGGCTCCCTCTCCCAGAGTACTGGGTTCTAGCAAGCTTGGAGGCGGAGGCTTTGGAGAGGTGACAGAGAGCACATGCTCCTTGGCACCACAGAGTCTGTTTTCTTAGTCTTTCTAGACTCCTTGAGTGGGTGATGATGTTTATACGCAAAGGGTCCTGTGTTACATCTTTTGGTCTTCTAAGACTGTTTAGGGTAGTATCTGATACACATATACACGAAGTGCTCGTTAAGTGGTTGTTGATTAACTGTGTCCAGGCCTTATCAAGGGCTGGGCTATGGTATTCATTCATACAATCATACATTCTCTTTCTATCTATCCATCCACTCAGTGATAGAATAAATATCTATATCTGAAAGAATGACTCCATTCCTTCTATTCCTGTATCGCAGATTATTACCCTAAGAACTTAGATATTCATTAGAAGCAATTTTAAAGCTGCTATTGGGTCTCCCCATAGTGGGTGCACTTCCTAAGTCTGGTAGTCCTGGGAGTGGGCATATTTCAAAAGCTCTACATACGATGTCAGCTACTGACTTCCCAACGGGTGGGACGGGCTTGCAGATTACGGGCAGGTAGGAAAATGCTTCTGTTCTTCCCAGTGGATTTAAGACTGTATTGTTGTCCCTGAGAATTAATATTTGTTCTTCTGAGGTGTATGCATGCATCTCCACAAATATGTTTTGGATTCTTGAAAGGATAAACAATGTATTTGCAACTTCCTCTGCCCAAGAGACCTTCAAAAAGGGCTGGTGCCCACCCCAGGGTTATGCCAGACTGATTAATTCAGGCTTGAGAATAAACGCTGGATTGCCTGATGGTGGCAGAGGTGGGCCCTCGGGTAGGGCTGGAGTTTCCCAAGGGGTAGAGAGAGATTTTGAGTGTGGGGGCTGGAATGAGACCCCCCACACAGAGCTGACGGTGTGAGCATTGGGAACAGGGTCAAGGGAGGATGTGACCAAGTGGAAAGTCCCTTAAGAGGTTAAACTTCTGGCTGGCACAGTAGCTCTCGCCTATAATCCTAGCACCCTGGGAGGCCGAGGCGGGTGGATCATTTGAGCTCAGGAGTTTGAGACCAGCCTGAGCAAGAGTGAGACCCTGTCTCTACTAAAAATAAGAGAAGAACATTAGCTAGACAACTAAAAATACATATAGAAAAAATTAGCCGGGCATGGTGGCACACACCTGTAGTCCCAGCTACTAGGGAGGCTGAGGCAACAGGATCACTTGAGCCCAGGAGTTTGAGGTTACTGTGAGCTAGGCTGACACCATAGCACTCTAGCCTGGGTAACAGACTAAGACTCTGTCTCAAAAAAAAAAAAAAAAAAAAAGAGGCTAAACTTGTTCGACACCCCTCTGGATGTGGGAAAAGACATGTCAGTACTCACTCTTAAAGTCTTTTCCTCATATGTTGTCATTTTCTCCATGGCCTCCAGTGGGTCAGGGAAGGCCTAATCACCCATCCAGCTTTGCGGGTGGGGTTACAGAGGGACGTGAGGACCTGGGGCTTGCCTGGGAGCAGACGCCCTTGTCCTCTGCCTCCTCTGACTTCAGCTGTGCCAGGACTGCCGCTGAGGTGGCCGCGGCCAGCTGGGAGGCGGCGTGGCCCCCACTCAGGAGGGTGTGGGAGACAGCTGCCCATTTCTCAAATACACTGGAGGGAGTGGGCCCTTCAGGTGAAGGAAAAGCTTAACTTGGGGTGACCCGCTGGGCACTGGGGACACACAGAAGATCACACACTGTCTCGGTCAGCCTTGAGGAGCTCACACCCAAGGGTAGTCCAGTCTTGAGCGTGCCTGGCACGTGGCAGACGCTCCGTGAGTGGGAGGGGACACAGGGGGAGGGCTTCCGGAGTTTTTCTGCTGGGCTTGTGCAAAGGCCACACAGGTGTGAGCGTCTGTGGGTGCACCTGGGGCTGGTGCGTGTCCCCACGCAGTGGCTGCAGTGGAAGGAAGGGGGTGGGGCAGAGGAGCCAGCACCGCTTCTCCATCCGTTGGAAGGAAGGGTATCTGGAGTGCCAGAAAAAGCAGATTATTCTGCACACAGTATCAATGGTAGGGGAGTTATCAATGGTTCTCAAAGCCTGATGGGGGTATCAGCATCACCTGGGAAATTGAGACAACTGGAAATTATAAGGCCACATCCTAGACCTACTGATTCAGAAATTCTGGGGGTGGAGCCCAGGATTGTAATAAGTTTTAATAAGCCTTCTGGGTGATTCAGCTGCAGGCCAAAGTTTGAGAACCACTGGTGTAGTGGAAACGATACTAGACTTTGGAAGGAAGGTGGATAGGGTGGGCTGGGGAGGGAGGGAGGCGTGAGGGGGACAAGGTACACTGCATGACAGTCTATCGTGTTCTGAGGAACGCGCTACCTTACATGCCCCTTCCTTTAAGTGATCAAGCGGTAACCAGGAGGGGTCTGTATCACCAGGCCCTCGTTACAGATGGAAGACCCAAGGCTTGGAGAGGTTAAATGATTGCTGAAGATCACACAGAAAGTGGTAGAGCCAAGTTCTGTACCCAGTTTGGCCTGGTTACAAAAGCAGGTTTTTTTTTCCCACCACTGCTGGTGCCTCCTGGCACCACAGAAGAGCAGTGGTCTGGACAATGTGCCTGGAGAACCCACGGTGGCCCAGGTGTAAGGAAGGGGCTCAAAGCTTGAAGCTCCCTCCCCGAGGGCCTGGTGTTGGTGGGTCAGTCCTGAGGCTCATGAGAGAGAGATGAAGACTTCTGCTCTTATTCCTGTCCTCAAAGGACAATCATTTGAATTTTCATAAGGTTTGCCATTCACACTGGGGAGCTGGGCTCAGCAAATGTACTTCTCCAAGCAACCAGCTGTTGTCCCTGACTCCTACAGAAGACAGGTTAAACGTGAGGTTAAGTGGAAAGCATGGTGGAAAAGTTACCTGTATGCTGTGATTACAGCACTTTAAATAAAAACAACAAAACATGAAAGAGAGCAGGGAAAACCCAATGCTAAAAGATTTCTACCTACGTTGTGTTATGTGATTATAATTATCTGCATGGTGAATATACATTCATTTATTTTAATGGTGCAACCAGTCCCCCCCCCCCCATGGAAGGTGCTGGCATAGTGGACAACCTGTGTGTCTGGTGGTGGGGCGCAGGCCCTCTCTTAGGGCGGGGTCGGTTCTCTGGCCCCTTGGAGTCTGTGTCCACCGAGGACAGCAGGGACAGGCTGTGACCTGGGAGCTACGCAGCACTAGTCACATCAGAGGTGCTGTGACATTCATCTCATCCAGCTGCAAGGTTAAGCCTCAGGGTTTCTGTGACCCTCTGGAAATCCCTCTTCAGGACAGCTGTGACCTGGAGGGCTTACGAGGGACTTTGGTGTCCGTGACTCAGGTCCTCCTGTTAACAGGTCCTCAACAAGCCAGAGGACAGGTTCTGGGCTGGGACTGGTGAGAAGAAGCCACTACCTCCAAACAAAGGCCACCAAACACCTTTAAACACAAAATAGTCTTTTATTTGTCAACGAAGGCTACACAGGATCACTTCTGGTTTTGTTTTTATGGTTTTTTTTTTCTCTTTTTCTAGAAGGTATCTACATCTGCATTTATTTACAGCCTTGTTGGTATTTACACAGTCAAGATACAGTGTTAGAAACACAAAAGTGTTGAGAAAAAAACTTCTCAAAATTAGTTCCAGACTTCAGGAAAACTATTTCCACATGGTAAGGCCAGAGTCTCCAGTGTTGGTCGTCCAGAGGCAGCTTGGTACAAAGTCCTCTTGCCGAAGCTGCGGGTTCAGAAGTCCTCAGAACAACAGGCAGATTTAGAAAAGTGGGATTCTGGTGTCGGGTGAATCCAGGGCTGCCGGGGCACCGCCAGACACCTGTGACTCAGCTTCTGCCAGGATAGCTGAGCCCGCCCAATGGTTAGTCCTCCCTTGGCGGTTTGCCCTCAGAATAAATCACATTTTCTGGGAGACCAAGAGGTCACCCAATATCATGCCTTTGGCATTCCAGAGGGGTAAGAAACACAACACTGGCCCCACCCAGGCCTCCCCCACTCTGATCTTGCACATTCATAATGAAACCTAAGAGCTCACCACTCTCTGGGGCAGTCAAGTACACAAGGCTGGTTTTTGAGAATGTAAAGGTTGGAGAGGATAAAGTTTCTCTCTATCACCTGAGCAATGAGTCTTTAAAATGAGTTTGCTGTTTTTGGAAGGTTAAATGAAAGGGCCTTGAACTGCAGAGTTCTTTTTCTAGTCCCCTCCCCTCCCATAAAATAGAGACAAGTGTAGAAACCTAGCTGGGAATTGTGTGCCTAGAATGGAGGGCTTTTTGTCCTAGTGAAAATCACAGGGAAAGGAGAACCTGGGTTCTTTCTGGGACCCCTCAGGAGGCAGGTCCCCTGACCAGGACCAGTTCCTGGGCTTAGTGGCTGCTCTGCAGAGTGGAGAATGGACTGGACCTTGAGCATCTGGTGACCAAATCCCAAAGCCCAGGACCCTGCCGCGTGCTCTCAAGCTCTTTTCTCCTGGGCACAAAACTCAGCGTCACCGCCCTCACTACGTGGCCACTGCAAAAATAAGGCTGCAAATGGTAAAACTGCATTCTAAGATTTCACATGGAAAGCCTTCTCTTTGCATAATGGAAACCCCTGCCACCTATAAAGCTGACACTTAAAAGTCACAGCGGAAAGGGTCCTTTCTGCTTCTTTTTAAAAATTCTTATTCCTTGTTCTGTATTGACAAAACACGGCCCAGTTTGACTCACCTCCCTGCCCTGCCGTCACCTTATGCCAGTGTCCGTCCTGATGATCCAAAAGCACACCTCCTGGCCGCTCCCACCTTCCACTCAGTTTCTTAGAGATCGTTTCAAGTCCTCCATCCCTAAGGGGAAATTCGGCACTGGTGTGGTCCTTGGGTTAATTCTCAGCCAACAATGCTGAGAGACAAGGGTCATAGGCTGACAAAGGTGCAATTTACCATGGAGTTCCTTCCCTTTCTTCCTGTGGTCCCAGCTCTGCCCACCTGTGATGTCTGTTTGGAGGGTGGGAAGGAGGAAATCCCCAATGAAAAAGGGAGTTGGGGAACCAGTAAAGTCCTTTCCAAGGGAGCAGCAGAGGGACTGAGGATGAGGGGCCGACTGGCAGCTGTGCAGGGCAAGGGAGAAGGCAGGAACTATTCTAAAGCGGACCTGCTGCTAGGGTCAGAGGCCACCATCCTGCATGGTCATGAACCCAGGCCAGAGAGGGAGGGCTGCTCACACCCACAAAGGGACAGGCTTTGGTTGGTTAGTGCCCAAAGGGCAGGTGGCATCAGGATGGGGTTGATGCTTGCAGCCTGCTAGGTACACACAGGGAACTCTGCTTTTAGCCTTGGAACTCCCCCTCACCATGGGATTGACACTGCTGGTCTCAGCAGGAGGGCAGAGTAAGAGTGGAGGCACTGAGCTACCTGCCAGCCCAAATGGGAACCAGCTCAGAAGGGCCAGGGCCAGAAGTGCCATTTCCAGCACAACAGAACCCAGGTGAAAGTGAGGTGCATAATGCTGCCTGTTCCACCACTGAGATCCTTTCTCTGAACTTGGGGATCCTTCAACCTTTCCCCTATGGAAGCTGGGCCTCTGCGGTAACCCAGGAAAAATACAAGATCATTCCTTTAAGAAAAAGGAATGTCCAATAATTCTGTGTTTGACCCTTAAAAGTCTGCACTATTCCTTTGGGGAGGGGCAGTGGAGGAGGGACAGAGGGGTGGAGAATGTAACAAGCTGGTTCCCCTGGACCACTTGCTTTCCCTGACTTCCCGGTACACGTCCCCAGCGGATCTTCACTGATGTCAGGCAGCCAGGACGGGGCTGATCAACTGGGCAGGAGAGCTTTGCCCAAAGGCCCTTTATATCAAGAGTACATTTTGAGAGGCATAAGTCTGTTTCCAATTAAAAAAAAAAACTGTGTTCTTCAGGCCAAATTGTTTTCCGTCCCATCCAAAAACGATCCTGCCAGATGGGAGCCCCCATCCCAGCTCATGCCACGCACGGCGGCCCTGAGGGGCCGTATCTGACTCAGCGGAGCTCTGGAGCAGAGGCAACGGGCAACCAGTGACAGACAGGCCGAGGCACACTGTTGCGGCAGTGTGATTTTTTTTGGAAACAGGAAGAGCACTTAGCGAAACACATCCTTAATCCCAGTGGGAGGATGTAAGGCGAAATCTCCGCTCCCCGAGCAGCTCTGGGTGCCTCCCTCTGCCAGCAGAACTCAGACCACACGTTGCTCCAATTCTCATGCAGTAGGAGACCTTCTTGGTTTCATTAACTTGTGTAATATTCTGGAGACTCTGTGAGTAAGGCTATAAAGGTGCCATGAGCTTATCAGTCCAACAAGGTTTCCACGGGGAATAGCTCAGACTCAGAATTCATTTTCCACACTTAATGTAAATGTAACCCATAAAAGTCCCATTTTCTAAGAAGCCCAGCTTAAAAGGAAGCATTTGGCTTCTCCTCCTGTCTCCCAGAGCCTCCTGTGAGTAGTAATGACAATGGCAATCAGGCAGATGAACCAGGAATGGAATCCTTGAACAAGGAGCCCTCACTCATGCTGTTCCCTGCCCTCAGGTGGGCACTGTCCTCACTCCTGAGGGGGCTCAGGCCTCTTCCTGATGACACAGGCACAAGTCTTCACCAGAATCATGCCAGCCTGGCCTCCCAGATCCATGAGCACGCTCCTTGGGAACTGCCCCTGAGCCTGGCAGGCTGGCATGACATGGGCAGGCCACACCAGATCAGCTCTCCCTCCCTTCTCCTTATCCTCTAAAAAACCCTGGCTGGGCTTCTCTAGAGGTGAAGCTGTTCTAGAACTTCAGGAATTTCCTGCAAGCTCATCCTGCTGCATCCCAGCTCTGCTATTAGCCCGTACACAAGAGGCAGAGGGGACATCAGGAGCTAGTTAGAAGGATGCTTGGCTCACGCCTTCCTCTCTTTGGCTGACTTTTTTTTTCTTAAGCATCTTTCCAGAATCAAAGGCCACCAAGAACCTCCTGCCACACTCCTGTTTATCAGTGGTGGCAACTGAGCAGTGGAGGGAAGATACCAAAGTCACGGGGAGAGGGATTCCCCTCGGAAGGCAGGTTGTACCCTTGCCACCACTGCCATCCCTTTGCATGGGCGGCCTTCCCGTCCCTGGACATGGTGCCCACGTGGAGGGCTTACCGTGCAGTGCTGGTTCTCACATCTGGCTTTGGGACAGAGGAGGAGATGAAAAGGAACTTCATGGAAGAGCAACTAAGCAAGGACATCCTGGGAGCGTCCCCCTCCTGGGGAGGATGGGGCTCTTGGCCCCAGGATGTTATGTCACCACACTGGGGGAAAGGACCTGGGAGACACTTTCTCTATCCCAGCATGGAGGTGGCACTGACAACTACACAGGATTTGCAAAAGGGGGAGGGGGCTTCATTTAGCATCAAATATAAAGCTTGGACAGGAGTTTGGGGCAGCTGGAAAAGGTGCTTAACGACATCATGAAATTCCCCGGAGCAAGATGATGCCATTTGTGGTCCTCCGGAGGCACAGAACGCAGGGAGTAAAACCCACCACTTAGCTTCGGGAGCTTAGCCAGAGAGCCTCAGGTCTACCGACCCTCCCCCGGGCCCCCTTGGAGGGGGTGTTGTACTGGCCCATCAGCATCTGCACCCCTCACTCCTGCCCGACCCCAATTGAAGAAGAAAGGGTTGCACATGAGACAAGTTAGCACAGACACTCGTGTCTCACATCACACTGGGTACCTAGGGACGGACGGGGACACACCCAGGAGATATGTCTCAGAGAGGAGAAACGTACCCCAAACAACAAGGAAAAATCCTCTAGGAAAAAGGGAACAAAAGACAATAAAGTTTTCGTTGTGATCACACTACAGAAAAAAAAAATACCTTCTGTTCTTTGCAAAAAATGTGTGAAGGCCAAATTTGTGTTTTTCTTTTCTTAAAAAAAAGGATGTTGCATGAATTACAATGCAACCAGTTATCTTTTTGTTTTCTGCACTTGTTAAAAAAAGGATTTTTTTTTAAAAGTACAACACAGTCAAGGTATGCGGCCACAAAAGAGTAGCTGTCTTTGGCAAGAAGTCCAGGCCTCGGCCCTCTCTGTCACCTTCGGCCCATCTCGCTCTGTCTCATGAAGTGGATGTTGCTGGCGCTGTCCGACAGTTCCGGGTACTGCTCGACGGAGATCACGAAGAAGCCGTCGTAGCCTTGCACCCGCCCCGTGCTCAGCACCTGCTGCTTCTCCCCCTCTGTCCAGGCCCGCAGGCCCTCCTCCCCCTCCCGCAGTCTCTGCTGCTCGCGGGCCCACGCCTGGCGCACGGCTCTCTGCCGCGCCAGCTCCAGCACCCGCACCTTCTCCTCATCCAGCGTCGTCCCGTAGCGGGTATTCAAGCACAGTGCCCCGTACTGGAGCTGGATGTCCGTGTAGCGTCTAGTCCTGCCATTGAGCATAGTGTTGATCTGGGACACCGTGACGTTGACCCCATTCTCCAGGGTTCGCCGCCCCCCACTGAGGCCCAGGATGGCCAGGTCGCCTTCTGAGGGCCCTGGCTTCACAAAGTAGTGGGTGTCCACCCCATCAATGGTGAAGTGCAGGTTCTCTAGGTAATGGGCATTGTTCAAGATGGCAGCAACCCTCCGCCCGTCCTCGTTGGCCACGCTGATGATGTCTGTGGTCACTCGGCCATCCTTCAAGGCAAACTTGACCCCTTTGCCAAAGACTGAGCCACTGGATGCAAACTTCTTCGTCTCTGGGGCCTGCTGGCAGCTGGTGACTGTGGAGCCATAGAGCTGGTCAAAGCGTTCTAAGGTGACGAAGGCCTTGAGCTGCTTCTGTACTTCACACTGTACCCCAAGGATGGACTGGCGGGGGAGGAGAGTGAGAGAGAGAATAAGACAGAGGGGAAAAAACCCAAGAGCCTGGAGAATCAGCTCAAATAATGACATCAAATCCACACATATTTATTAACCTGCAGCATCTAGCTCTACCGCTGACCACCAGAACATCCAGCCTTCCTTCACCATCAGCTCACCCACCCTTCTATTCCAAAACTAGGGAGCCTCTAATCTGTGCCAGGCCCTTTCCTGGGCACTGGAGACACAAAAACGAATCAGACATTATCCTTTCCCTTTAAGAACTCATAGTTTGATGGGGAAAGACAGATAAGACAACAATAATTGCAATCAAATGTGATAACTGGTGGCCTAAGAGAGGTCACAGTAATAGTTATAGCTGATATTTCTTGATATTTCTTTGAGCCAAACGATTACCATTCATTGTCTCATTTGATCTTCACAATAACTTTATGTAGTGGGTAGTGTCAATAATTCCGATTCTATGTGTAAGGAAACTGAGGCTCAAAGAGGTTGTAACTGGCCCGCAGTCAGACAATGAATAACAAGGCAACGTGCTGCCCAGGTCTGTCTGCCTCTGGAGGCGCAGTTCAAGGACTGCAGGGAGTAGGGGGTGCAGACAGAGCTTGGAAGAGGCTCAGCCTGAAGGTGGAGGAGGGAGGTGGAACAGGCAGGGTTCGAGGACAGGATCATGTTTGAGTTGGGACTTGAAGGGTGAGGGGGTGCTGGCAGATGGAGGAATGACAAAAAATGCAGTTTTGGCCAGAAGGCATAATAAGGTGAGAAGCAGTGATTTACATTAACCCTCTTGCCCTGCTTTTTGCTCTCCATGTTTACACGCAATTTTCAAGGAGGGCTTCTGCCCCGCAGCGCTTCCCTGGGGCTCCTCAGGTGGCCTGGCTCTTGGCAGCTCTGGGGGACAGGCTGGGCCCTGCCAGGGTGGCGTGCCACCTACCCATCCCTCCCAGGGCTCGGGGAGCTCAGGAAGTCGTGTTCAGGCTCCAGGGCCTTATCAGCAACTCAGGGAAATGGCTTTAGAAACAGGCCCATCGGCTTCTCCCTGAAATTAAGTCCTCTTTATAATTAATAGAACCCTGTCTGTGAACAATTATTTCCTAGAGTTTCACGAAAGCTGGAGTGCTCAACAACAAAGATCTCCAATGCTTGCCAAGGGCAGAAATCAATAATTCATTGACAGGCGAGGTTGGCAGACAGGCAGGTGGAGGCTGGGCTCTGCGGCGGGGGGCAAGAGGCGGGAGAGCTGGGCTGCTGCTCTCAGCCCTGGGAACAGCAGGTGACAGGACACCGGGGCAGGGCCTGGGGTGGCGGGGACGGGAAGGGGCTGGGGCAGCACAGAGGGGCAGACAGAGGAGGGGCCCTGTGGTCAGGCAGACTTGGCTTCTCCGTGGCCTTTTGCCACTTTCCAGCTGAGTGGCTGTGGGCAAGTTTCTCTCTGAACCCTGGTCTCCTCATCTATAAAATGGGGAAAGATAACTAATGCATGGGCCGTTAACTTCTTTCAACCATTTATTTATTTGACAAAAGTTGAATACTGCTTGCTAGCCCATATGCTGGGTACCAAACGAGACCCAGCACTTACCTTCTTGGGGCTCAGAGTCCAGTGGACAGACAAGAAGGGAAACAGGCGTTAAAATGTAGTGTGGGAGTGCTTTGCAAGAGGAAAACAGAGGGCGCCACAGAGCACAAAGGTGCAAAATCTCATTCTCCAGAGGCTGGTGGAAGGAGGCAGCTAAACCGAGGCCTAAAGGAATCAGTCTGGATTAGGGTGCATGGATGTGAGAGCTTCCAACCACCAGCAACACGCCATCTGGCAACCCTGCTTCGTCCTCAGCCTGTTCTCCCTGGGCAGGGACCCCCTGGAAGGCTTGGTCTCTGCCTGACTCACCCGAGTCCACTGGGCACAGCATGGGGCTCGGCACAGAGTGGGCTCTTAGTAGAGAATTTGCGAATGGGGTCAGAGAGGAGGGGAGAAAGGAACAAATGAGTGCGTGAAGTGAGCAGGTGGGATGAGACCGTTGTTAAGAACCTTTCTAGCTATGTAATAATTCTGAGTCTTTGACATTGGGTCACAAAAGGAAGACAAGAGAAAGTAATGCTTTTTGAGCACCCACAGTGTGCCAGGCACTGCACGCAGAAAGACAACACAGAGCAGATAAAATCTGGGCTTGAATGCCAGCCCCGTCCGTTCCTTGCTGGGAGGCACTGCTGTGGGATCTTTGTGAGTTAATTTAGGTAGAACATCTCATACAAGGCCAGGTGAACTGCGGTGCTCAAAAATTTCACATTTGCATTTAGAACACACCTTGTCTCCTTGCACTTTTGTTCTGGATAGTGACAAAGGTGTCTTATTTTTGTGGAACTCCAAACTCAGTGTAGCATACAAAGCTCTGTAAGGTAGCCCATGAGTGTCTGCGTGCTGTTATAGCTGGGTCCCCAAGGCTTGCCTAGGGGTAGAGTCACTAAGTAGTTGCTGAATGGTCACTGGCAGGCACTGGGGAGGCACCTCATTGGTTTCTATCACTGGCCCAAGGTTTTCTGAAAAGCTGGGGACTCCCTCCTGCACTGTCTGAATGGTCTGGGGCAGCCACGTGTGGGAGTTACCTTGCTGTTGTCCCACTCCTGAGTTTTCATGTGGGTGTGGACGAGCTCATAGGATGGTTCCATGGCATCCATGTCGGGTTTGGGATAGCCGGGGATCACGTTGTGCAGCTGGAATCCAAAGGTAAGCAGCCAGCTGTTGACATCTGGCCAGGAGAGAAGCAGAAACACCCCAGTGAGTAAGCAGACTTCAGATGCAACCCATCCCCATCTCGCGGCCTACAGTTAGGCTGCGGGGGCAGAGGGTGTGGACGGCTGCTGGTGGTGGAGAGTCACCGCTACACACTTTGGAAGATTCCATAGCATGAAAGCCAAAGGTACTCCTGGGCCCAGTGATTCCCCTCCCAGGTACATACCCAAGAGGGATGAAACTTAAATAGAACCTAGGTTTCCAGACTTCCCTTTCTACTCTAACTTCATCTCCCAGTACCTCCAGCTGTGGATGGATGAAAAGCCCCCACTTCCACCCCAACATCAATAGGAAACACTTGCAAAGGACAGCCAGACCCACGGGGAAGATTTTAATGACTGACTTGCAAAGAGAAGATTCACTTAAGAAACAAACCTCCCTCCTCTCCCAACCCTCTTTGCAGCGATTAGACTGCACTGGGCATGGAGATGTCCTGTACCTGAGATCAGAGTTTTCCTCCTGCTCCTGCCTTTCATGTACTCTAATGGCCCAAGGAGGTCACCTGGCCTCCTTGTGCTTTCCTTTTCCAGTATCTGTACTGGGCTTGGGGATCTAGTCCCGCAGGCATGGGACTAATTGGTTTTATAACATTCCTTGGGGTTACTAATTAGAAAATATTATGTGTAAGGATAGACATGATTTTGCCATGAGCACTTAGCTCACTGAAAAATGAAATCAGGAAGCCAAGACACAAGGAAACAAAGGGGGGCTGAGGGTGTGCCACTAGCTACATGGCGGGCTGCTGCCGAACACCTTCTATGTGCCCAGCAGTGTCATACAGACCCTCGCCTTGCACACTCAGGACCCTGACGGGGGCATGGATAACTGTGGCAAAAGGAAAAATATTAGAGGAAGGTAGAAGACTTTCACTTGGACAAGCTGACAAGTCCACATGCAAAAGGTGGCTCTTAAGCCAGACACTGAAAGCTGTTTAAATTTTGTCAGACATTGACGGAGATGAGGGGGGCACTTCAGACAAAGGTGACTGTACAAAGCAAGCCCTGGAGAAGAGGGGTGAGTGCAGAGTGTTCAGGTAACCAGAGAGAGCAGCTCAGCAAGGTTGAGAAAGAATCAGAAGGGAAAATTGTGGTTGGAACAGGAAGAGCCTGGGATGGTGGGTAGGAGGTTATTTGGAGAAAGAGAGGGAAAGAGACAGACAGACAGACAGACAGACAGACAGACAGTCAGACAGACAGACAGACAGGTTGTGTCCCCTTACAGCTCAGCCTTCCTTGCAAAGGGGCAGCTGAAGATGCCAAAGCAGTTGTTGACCAGAGATTCAATCCAAAGTCTGGGGGAGGCAGGATTTTGAGTTGAGCTTCAGAGCCAGGCTCAGTGTTGGCTTCTTTGCAATGGAGATAGAGCCCTAGTTAGGGAGGTCCTGTGTGGGTTCTAGGCACAGGTGGAATTATCTTCCCCTATCACACACTGACTTCATCCCAGAGGTAGGAGGGACCTGTGTCCCTGTCACCATTTGGTCCCATGTTGCTCTCCCATTCAATAACCTCATGCTTGCCTTTGACCTCATCTTGCTTTGTTTCTGTTGTTCTAGGGACCCTCTCCTGGTATTCGACCTCATGGCAGAGAGGGAAGCTTAGAAGCCCAGGCTCTACTTCTTCAGTCTTCCTAGGAAAGATCATGGAAGGGGAAGAACAGGTAGCTGAGGCAAGACACACCCAGGTCCAAATTATGGCTCCCAGCTTCCAGACTGTGTGAACTTGGACAGGTTACACAACTTCTATGAGGCTTAGTTTCCTTACCTGCATATTGATAATAACAATGGTTTTATCCATTCATCTATGGAGAATACTAATAGCGTTACCATGTGGGGGCTGTTATGGCCTGAACTGTTCTGAGCATGTACACAAATTATTGGATTTAATGTACTTTGAAGAATCCAGCTCAGTGCTGGCTCACAGGGTGTTTTCTCTATGCCCCTAACCCGCACTTGCATACCCTGAGATCTCCATTTTCTCATTTGTAACAGAAGGGGCGTGGACCAACTTTTCTCCAAAGTTCCTTTCCTCACTGAGTTTTTAAGAGTCTTTGATTCTATGCATCTTGGCAGATGGTTCTTTGGGAAATTAAAACAAACAGAACAGGGGGGAAAACGCCCTACAAAGCCATTTTGCCCGAGGCTGAGAACGCACATCTGTATTTGTATTTGCAAAGGAAAGCTTCTATCAGGAATACTGCAAACTCCCAGGAAACCAGGGGCTAAGAAGAGGGCTGTGCCTTAATTACAAGTGACAGAAGGTGGGAAACTTTCCTATTATGCCTTTAGGAAAGATGCTGAAAATGAATTTATTCATAGGTTTTTCTACAGTGCTTTTCTAAAGGGTTGGGAATTGGACTCTCCCTCCTTAGGACATCAGAGGGAGACTTTAGCACCGTCCCAGCTCCAGTGTTGCCACTGGGGAGTGATGTGATGTGAGCAACAATAATTAATCCCTCTCACGTGTGCACAGCTTTGCTCTTCACAAAGTGTATTTGGGTCCTAGAATGGGGGTTTTTGGAGTCAGAGCAGAGTTCTAATCCAAGCTTGCCACGCCTGGGTGGGCCAGTTATTTCACCTCTCTGAACCTCACTTTCCTCCTCTGTAAATGGGGTCAGTGATCCCCACCTCCAGGCACCAGATTAAATGCAATGATGTACAAAATGTACCTGTGGTGGGCAGTTTTCAGATCCCTTCTCTGCATCCCATTCTGCCTTCTCTTTTGTTTTTGGAGTGTTCATGCAGTTTTAGGGAAGCTGACACCACCTAAGGGGTTGGTAATGGATCACGTGCCCAGGCAAAGCCAATCACTGCATTCTCTCTCTCTGGCCATGGTGACTGCTTCAGGGATTATCGTGTGATCTAAGCCTATCAGACTGGAATATATTTCAGGACGCTTCAAGAAATTTTTAGAAAACAAGATGCTCTTTTTTTGGTTATTATTGCTGGATGTGAACAAATATGCACGTAGCCCACGTGAAAGCTAAAAGGTAAGGTTTAGTGAGAATTAGTAGAATCTTGTTTCTTATTAGTGATTAAAATTTTTTTTCAATCTGCTAAAAATTTGACTGTTTACATGAAATCTCTCTTGTGCACACCATGGTTTTTCAAACTGTGGGATATAACCCACTATGTAGTGAAATCAGTTTTGTGGGTCATGATCAGAATTTTATTGAAATGGAATAGATGAGACTAGAAAATATAAGAGTGTATCATATTTTTACATATGCTTTTACAAACCTGTTGTTTTAGTGTTTTACTGCAATATAAAATCTTTTTCTTATGGCAGGTTCACAGTCAAAAAAATCTGAGAAGAGCTGTCTTGGATCATGTCATCTATGAAGGCGGGCACTATGCCTGACTGCCCTCGGGACCCTTAATACAGGTCTGGTACAGAGTGGGTGTAAGTAATACAATATTTGCTGATTTAACTGACTAGAAAATAGAACTCGAACTGAAAATATTAGGTGCCCCTTGGGTGGTTGATTGCTTTGTTAAAAACTTGATTTGGAGACCAGCATTATTGTAGTGGAAGGTGTTCTGGAGTCAGAGAGCCCTGGATTAGAGTGCTAGCTTCATGGGGGACATTTGTGTGAATCTGAGCAAACCCATCATCATTTGGAACCTCAAAAGTCTCATCTGTAGAACTGAGACAATGACAATGATCTCACAGAGCTGTTGCAAAGTTTAAAGGAGATCATATCTGCCAAGTGCCTAGCGAGTAGTTAGTCATGTTAGTGCTATTCTGGAAGGAGACCATATGTATACGGTGGTGTACAAGGAAAAGGGAGGGAGAGAGTAATATTTTGGCAAGCTGTAGCAATTTTTTTTCATAGAAAAGTACATTTCCTATTGCAGTATTTTTTTTTCCAGCTACAGCAACCTGCCAAGACATCTCACAGGAAACTCACTGGAGGGTGAGGCAGGGGGTGTGCTTAATGCAGACAGATGTAATGGAAATGTCATCTCAATCTGTCAAGCTTCTCTAGGGCTAGCAGCCGAGTTGAGTGTGGTGAAGGCTGTGAAACATTGTTAGGATATTCATGTTTATCCATGGGCCCCAAGTATGTTTTCATTACACCTGTCCACCACCTTGTTCTTCCTTCTTTCCTGTGCTTAGGACTCCTGCTCTCAACATGACAACGTAGAATTCTTCCCTGAAAAAAGAATCCTCCTATTGTTCTGTCAGCAGAAACAGAGTCCAGGCTGGGCCACCAAATTTAAAGGCTGGGGAACCATGTCTGTAAGGGGCACTCAAGTGAGCTAACATGTTGCCCTCTCAATACTTCCGTACATGCTGTCCCCCTAGCCTGGAATGTCTGTGTCCCCATTCCCTAATGATTACCCACCCAGAAGCTGTGCTCAAACGTCAGCTGCTCTGTGGAGCCTTCCCACAACCGTTCAGGCAGAGCCAGGCACTCCTCCTCTTTGCTTCAGTGGCCATCTCTGCAAACCTTTGCCATGGTCCCCCACCTCCTTGGACAGCAATGGTCTCTCCTCTTACAGTGAGAATTCCTGGAGCGTAACAACCATCTTTATTCCCAGTGCCTAAAGCTGTGGCTGTACAGAGGACACACTTGTGGGATGGCGGAAACTGCCATAAAAGAGGGGGCCTGAGGATTGGGTCACAGACAGAAGAGGGGGAGAGACTCCCGGGTTTGTGAGCTGGGGTGTGCCAAAATTTTGCCACCCACAAATTCTATTATGTCAAAAGTGTGGGCCGCACACCCTGCACACTCAGGTAGTTTTCACCATAGTGGAAGGTGGGGCTCACTTTTTAGCTCAGAGGGTGGAGGAAAGGAAACTGAGGTGAGCCAGGCGCTGTGCTGGGTCTGTTATGGGATGCATCCCATTGTACACTGTCCCCCATCCGGCCAGGCAGGTGCTTGTTTCTATTTGTTCCATGTGTTCTTTGCTCCCCTTCCCTCTTTTCTTGGCCTCCTTGGATTAAGCATTTTCTTAGTCTTTAATTTTATCTCCACATTGACCTATCTGCTATGCCTCTGTTTTAGTTTTTATCTTTTTAGTGGTTGCTCTCGGGTTTATAATGGGCATATTTAACTTATTGCAGTCGAGGTAGGTATTCTAACTTCAGTTTATACACCAGGAAACTGGAACTTAGGATAAAGTAATTTTTGTAACACGGTGGATCCTTCACTCAGTTTTGTCTCCAAAGTCTGAATTTTCCATCATATCATCCCAAATTTAGAACTTATTATTATTATTATTTAGCCATACCTTAATCAACTTATTAGGGACTCATAAACGGCTTGATCTCTGTGTCAGAAGCTTCCAAAGTGCAATCCAAAGGATGCATTTCATGATGAAAAGTGCTTTCATGGTCAAATAAGTCTGAGAAATAGTGGGTAAATATATTAAACAGTTCTCTACTGCAGGACTTATCAGGGCTTTGTATAAACTAAAATGAATTATAAAGATGTACTAATGGTGGTGGCCCTTATAAATTTATTTGATGCCAGAACCATTTGTTCCAGAGCATACTCTGAACTAGTATTTCTTCAAATATACTTTGGAACATTCTGCTCTAAGAGGAAGGCAATGTTTCCTGTCACCCCGTACCAGCTTTCTCAAGGAAGATTAAGCCTCATCAAGCGACCAGAGCAATGCAGTGGGTCCCAGCCCCCGAATGAGCCCCGATCCTCACCTGTCATGAAGCACTTGATGTCCTGAGAGTTGCTGATGGGATTGTTGTTCTTAAACATGTAGAGGTTGAAAGGCATGATGTTGTTGCTACTCAGGTGCTTCCACAGCTCATGGTCCGGGCTGGTCCACCGCCCAGCCAGCACATCATAATCCCGGCGGCCCATGTGGACGAGCTTGGTGAGTGGATCGTAGAGACCTCCATGGTAACCGATGATGATCTGGAAGTTGGGGTTGGTATCCATGTAGATCTCCCCGTAGGCTGTGTACAGGATCTGCTTGATCATCAAGCCTGTTCCACTGAAGACAGCAAGAGGGGTCCCAATATTGTCACAAGCTATGTAAAACTCGTCACCGCTGCTTAGCTCCATGGCAAAGAGGTGTCCCTGCAGGTCGTAGTAGAGGGATGTGATCTCAGAGCTGGAGTGGTTGTAGAGGTGGGTGACCTTGGTGGGGTTGGTTAGGTCTGCATAGAAGAACTGCAGGTGGTGGCTATGGGTGCTCTTGCTGGACACCCGCCGCCCCAGGCCATCATAGCGGTACCTGACACTCCAGCCACCAGCCCGGTTATAGGCCTTGATGAGCAGGCCAGCTGAATTATACTCAAAGACGTCACCACCCCGCTGCCTTAGGAAGCCATCCTCATCCATCTTGTATTGCACGTCACCCAGCCTAGTGATGCGGTCACGGAGGTCATACCGCAGTGGCGTGAGCCGTGCACTGTTCCCAGGGCTCAGTAGGTGGAGGTTCCCATTGAGATCATAGCTGTAGCGCCAGAGTGGCTTGTCATTGATGGAGACAGTCTGCAGCTGGCCGTCAGCATCGTACTCGTAAGAGTAGCGGGTGGTGTTGGCGTAGGGTCCCACCTTCAGCTCCTTCTTCACCACGCGCCCCATGTTGTCATACTGGACAGTCATCCAGTACATGAGTGAGCGGAAAATCTCGTACTGCACTTCCTTCATCCTGCCGTACGCGTCAAAGTGCTTGGTATGGGTCATGACTGCCGTGGTGATGATCTGGTTAATGTCATAGTAGATGACACCGAACTTCCCAAACTGCTCTGTCTTGCCTGACACGTCATCGTAGCGATAAAGATCAATGGGCAGCGGGGTCTCGTTGATCACAGCCTGCATGCTGGTCACCCGGAAGCTGTTGTCGTAGTTGTAGTCAAAACGGGCGTTGACCATGCCCTCCTCGGTAAAGCGGAAGATCTGCCGGTCGATCAGGGGCCCGATCTGACGGTAGCGGATGGTGCAGGTGAAGCCCTCGTTCTGCAGGTTGATGGTCTTCAGCATGCCCGCCGTCTCGTCATAGGTGAAGCTCACCTTGGTGGTGTCGTACAGCGTCTCGGCCAGCTTCGACAGCTTGCCGTACTTGTATATCACCCTGCGGCCGGTGCCCAGGTAGAAGGTATGGAGGAGGTGCCCGTCCTCAGTGAAGTCCTGGATGACCGAGGCATTGCCCTCGGGTGGCTGGTAGATGTTCCTGTAGTAGCCCACCGAGCGCATGGTCTCCAGCGTCTGCCGGGCCACATTGGGCATGGTCACGGAAGAGAGGCGGTCGTTCTTGTCGAACTCAAAGATATACTGCCTCTGGCTGTGGAGCAGAAGCACCATGGACTGCAGGGAGAGAGAGGAGGGTGGTGAGGAGGAAGAGTATCTAAGACTTAAAGGAAAGGAATGGAGGCCAAGGAGACTGGTGGTTCTCCTGAGTTGTGCCTGGCCAGGGTTTTCCAACTGAGTGCCACGGGATACTGTGCATAGGTTACAGATGTGCTAATAAGCTAAAGCTTCCTCTCAGCCCAATGGGGCTGGCAGGGCCCAGGGCCCAGACACTTGGGCCACTTACTTTCCTGTGCTGACCAGCCTTGCCTGTCCTCCCTCTTGTGCAGCACAGACCTGACCTCCCTTGTGTGTAACGGGGTGAGGGAAAGGTCGGGAAGCACAGGCCCGAAGTATCTGCAACAGCTCTCTGCTGGCTTCCTTGCTCCAGACTTTGCAAATCAATCTTCCTACTTGAGCAAGAACAAGTTCCCCAAAACACAGTGTGGCAATGTCTTTTGCCTGCTAAACAGCTTCTGTTGACTCCCTGTGTCTTAGGGCATAAAGACCATGTTTGAGAAGGGCATTTAAGGCTTTGCATGATCATTTATGTAGTAACAGGCCATATGCCCACCCTGGGCTGGGGCAGGCTGTGACAGGAATGGGAGAACCTGGTTTCTAACAACGGACTCATTGTGTGGCCCTGGGAAAGTTCTTCCCCTCTCTGAGTTTGGCTCTTCTGAGGCTGGATGACCTCCAGGTCGCTCTCTGAGCACTAGCACAGAACGTCACTCTCGGAGACACTCACCCTGCACCGGCTGGCTGGGGGAGGCTCACCGCAGAGCAAGCAGAGCCTGGGCCCTGCACAGGGGACCAGGAGCAGGGAACAAAGCAGGGACCTGGGGACTAGAACTGGGTGTGAAGGGCATGCTTTCCCAGGAGAAAGCCAGCAGGTAACAGGCTTCTAGGCATCAACGCTACAGTTTTCACCTATTTGGAACCAACTTTTGATTTTAGGTAATTTCTAACTCTTAGCCCCTGGGATGAAATGAATCCTGATCTGAAGCACAACGGATTTACGAAGCCCACGCCCAGCACTAGAAGCTTAGGATTAAGCACCTGCTCCCTACTGCTGATCCCAGGCTTTTGTCTGGCTGTCCATGTCTGGATGGCACGGTGTGCCCTAGACCTGGGAGCAGGCCCCTGCCCTGGGTCTGAACCCTGAGTCCTGCTCTGTGAGTCCTGCTCTGTAAATCCAGCTGGGTCTGTGCTGTTCCCAGCTCTGCTCCATGGGCCAAGCCTTTCATATTCTCCTGTCCTAGGGTCCCCACCTGCCGCACCATCACCAGGATCCTCCAGATGCCTCTTGGGACCCCCTGGCCTCTGTGGCAGATTTTTCCCGAACATTTCTGCTTTTAGAGACCACATGGGTCAGATATATGCCCCCCAAGGTCAGCAGGCTGGGCCTGGCCATGCGTTGAGCTACAATGACTGACCTTCTATACAGCAAGGCCAGGGATGGAGGGAGTGGACACCTGCCTTCTCTAAGTACGTGTAGCTCCACGTCTTCCCATCGGCAAAGATCCTGGACGTGACGCGCCCTGCCTGGTCGTATTCCATCCTCTCGGACATGATGCCCCTCTGGATGCCGGCAATGTGGCCACCAGGGGAGTATGTCACGTTGACACCGTTCAGCCTGCTGCTGGGTGACCAGAGGCTGGGCCGCCCCGCCTGGTCGTACAGGATCCGAAGGGTGAACTTGCGGTGGTCATCATAGATCTTCTCTGTGCGAGTCACGCGATCAAAGTCCAGAGATAGAAGGTTTCGGTTGTGAACCTGGAGAAGGGGTAGGAAGGAAAGAACAAATTACTCTGGACGTTAAGAACTTTGGTCTGATGGCCAATGTGGCTCTCAGCTGTGCTGAGAAGCACCTGAGTGGAGGAGGCAGCCCAGGTCCTGGGCATCAACAGACATGAGTCCCGGCTATGCTACTTGGCAGTTCTGTAATGTTTCCTTATCTATAAAATGGGAATAATAATAATGCCAGTCGCACAGGGCTGCTGTGAGGATAAAGACAATGCAGACGTTGAGCAAATAACAGTTGTGACTGAAGAGGACCCCTGTGATTTTCTAATGTGGTTCTGCTAATGAGGACATATAAAAAAAGGCAGATCCTTCTTGGCTCCTTCCTCGAAAGGGAGCTGCCAAGTGAGCCCAGCACACAAACTCCTGACCCGTCTAGTCCATGCCAGACACTGTGCTGATGCGAGACACTGAGGGGACCAAGCTGAGGAAGTGAAGGGATTTGCTCTGGATCACGTGGCTGGTGAGTGACTAAGTCTGGGCTTGACCCTCACGACTGCAACGTGCCGACAGACACCCCACGGTCCTCCGAGTAAGTCCTAGCTTTCTGGGGGCTCTGGACTTCCTGTCCCCTCCAGGTCTGTCCTGCCACTGCAGCACAATCAGGGCCTCTTGATCACCTCCATCAGTGTCCAAAACATCTTCTTCCTGGAGGCGCTTGGAGGCGGTGGGTGTTGTGAGTGTGGGTGGCTGCTGTGGCTGTGGGCTGGCTGGGGACATGGTCCTGGCTCTGCAGCACTTCGTTCCTGCCTCCAGGCCCGGGAGCCCTGGTATAATCTCCACCTGGGCTGCTGAGTCAGTGCACAGTCCAATTTCCTTTCACAGTCAGAAAGCTATGGCTCCCACAGAGGTAGCAGTAAGTCAGGGTTTTCATATTTTGATAAAGAAATAGCCTCCGGGGGCCTGTTTTTGTACGTGGATCCACCTCCTAGGCACTGACCACACGTGAAACGCTGCCAGGCTCTGAAGCTAGAACGCTGGTTCCCGCTAACTGGGCCTGGCCTTACAGGGCATGTGGGCACATTCTCTGTGTCTCCCACTAGTCACTGGCTGAGTCTGTCAAGTAGCGAGGAAGACCCCAGAGGCAGCAGATAATTAGGTCACGTGATGCAAAGTGGCACGTGTGGACTGAGGTAATGAAAGGCCTTCTGTGGCCCTGTGTGGTTATAAAAGGGGCCTAGGTCTAGGAATGGAGGCAAGGATTCCAGCCTCAACGTTGTGATCAACTGTTCTGTGTGACCTTGGGCAAGGGCCTCCCCCTTCCTGAGTCTCAGTTTCTTCCTCTGTATCACAACAGAGCTGTTTGGAGGATTGGAGAAACTTAAGTATATGACTTTGTGCAATGCTGGGTACGTAGAGGTACTGAATAAATGGCAGAATTATTTCCATTAAATGACAGCCAACAATCATGGTCATTCTCCGAAGCAAGAGAGACATGTGTGTCTCCCCCTTCTCCCTACACAACTGCTAAGGCCTTGAAAATAAAGATTTATAATGATAATGCTGAGACGACTTTGGCTGTGAATGGCCTGGTTATAATCAGGTTGCCTTCCCTGGGGTAATCAAACACAATTGCAGAAGCAAAAACAGTGTGGCAGACAATTCCCATGAAAAATCAGAGGCGTTGAAGGCTGAAGCTGTGTTCTTTGTGGAGAGGGCAAAGGAAGATACAGGGGCTGTACTGCCAACAAGAACGAGGGCCTTTTGGAAGGTCCCCCTACGACTCCTCCCAGGGTGGTGCCACCCAGCCCGCTGGCCCCCTTGTCCCCTGGAGGACCTCTAGTGAAGGGGAGCTGCACCTTTGTGGCAAAAATAATAAAATTAAATTAAACAGCTCACTGGGGAACCGTCTAATGCTTCCTGTGCTCGGCAGTGACGACAATGAGATTATTTCACATCTTTCTTTATTAGGAAAGTTCCCAGTTGCATAAAAAATGAGCTCCATTATGGGGAGGCACACCCGGCTAACATTCCAATTCCACATGCCGCCGCTGTGGGTGGCCATTTATTTTGGGAGGACACGTAGATGTGGCCACCCGACAAGAGCACCATCAATCTCAGGCTGGGAGAGGGACCAATTAGAGCCTGGGAAACTTTTGGTCCAGTTCACACAGCAGAGAGGAAATCCTATTAGTACTAATCACTGCCGTTTATTGTGCACCTGGGGTGTACTGCACTGGGCTAGGTGCTCAGAATGTGTTATCTAGTTTCTGCAGAAGAACCGGAAGGCTCAGTGGAATTGCTCAAGGATACACACGCAGCCCACACAGGAATCAAACGCAGGTCAAACTTTCCAGCGGGTACACTGCCTTAGACGTGCAGGAAGGGCTCTTTGAGAATTGAGAAGGGGGACTAAGGCCACAGAGAATAAAGACAGCTAGGCCTCCCTTAGGGAACTAGTGGGAAGCTGTTTTCCACATTAGATAGTTGCTAGTGTTCTTAGCTGAGTTCTTGGCCGTTGAGGGCACAAAGGAAGCCTGGTTTTCTGGGTTCTAGTTGTGTGATGTTGGACAAGTCACTGTAATATGTCTGTATGTGTTGTAGGCCTATTTTCTAGTCTTTACGAGCATCTCAGCTATAGGACTCTGGAAAAATCAATTACCCTCTTTGGATCTTGGTTGCCCCATGTGTAAAACAGGGGATTAAATGAACTTTCTTTGCAAAAGGGCAGGGGACTTAGGAAAGCCTGAGCTGTGTTGGTCTGAGGATGCTTCTGTGCTTCTTCACAATGTTAGGGACATTTAGCTCAGTTCTGTGGTTCGCTTTAGCTCAGCAAATACCTCCTGAGCACCCGTGGACTGCGAGGTGCTGTGCTGAAAGCCAGGGCTAGTCCATTAGCTTTCCCTCTGCCTGTCACCTTCCCTTCTCAAGCTGGAGGGAGAAGAAGCTGGGCAGTCAGGCCCAGGGTGGATGCCACACTCTACAGAAACAGGACACAAGGCAGAGAAGGAGCTGGCTCAGGGCATCCACATGCTAAAAAGCACTCGGCATGCCAGACCATGATGCTAGCACCCTGGCAGTGACAGCTAGGGTGAGGCCATTTTGCTCACTTAGGGAGGGTAACTCTGCCTGGAAAGAGTGGAGAGGGTGGCTTAGGTTCTGAATAGCTAAACTGAAATTTGGGTCATGTTAGCAATAATAATAACAATAATTGTAACAATGGGGGGAACCTACCTAATGGGTACAGCGAACACTATTTGGGTGATGGGCACGCTTATAGCCCCAACTCAAGCATTATAAAAGTAATGTAACCAAAAACACTTGTATGCCCTAAATATTTTGAAATAAAAATTGTAATAATTATAGCAAAACAACACGAGTAGCTATTATTGAGCACGTTATATTATGTGCCAGACTCTGTATAAGATGCTTTATGTATTACTTCTAGTCCTTATAGCCATTTGTAAAATTGGTTTTCTCTTTCCCATTTTGTGGATAATGAAATTGAGGCTCTAAGAGTCTTGACTTGCTGAAGTTCACTCAGGAAATAACATACGCTGGAAATTCAACTCAGACCTGACTAGCACCAAAGCCAGCGATCTTTCTGCAAGTAAAAGCTGGAAAGATATACAGGAGCCTCTTATGGCACGTGGTTCCCTGCTTTAGTTCCCCCACTTTCGCAGATGAGAAAACTGAGGACTCTGTTTCCAGACCAGAGCCCAGTTCCCCAGATTCCCGACCTCCTTTCCCCATGGCCCGACACAGCTGCCTCCTGAGGCCTTGCTCACCCGCAGCCGGCGCCCAAAGACGGTGACCTGGCCCCGAGCCTGCTCCTTGCGCTGCCGCCACTCCACCAGGTTGAGGCCGTTGTCGATGGGCAGGGTGACGTTCCTCTTGCCCACGGTGGGGTTGACGGTGCCAGCCAGCAGGTGGGGCTCGGTCTGGAGTGCCACCTCCATGCCATTGGCCAGCAGCAGCCGCAGGGAGCCATCAGCCCCGATATAGTAGCTGTTCCGGACTTGGTCTGCGGGGAGGAGAGGCACAGACTACTCAGAGGGAGTGAGGACAGAGGGGGTGTGTGGAGAGCAGAGGCGGTGGCCAGGAGGTGAAAGGGTTTTCATTTTCTAACTATACAAGCAGTACATTATTATTAAAGAAAACTAGGAAAATATACAGAGGTCATCTCCAACCTCAATACCCAAAGAAAACCATTGTAAATGCTTTGTATATTTGTAGATTTTAGGCTATTTCCAAATGCACATACAGGTTAAAATAGTAGCTTATAGAGTTTTGCACTGATCATTATATTACATAATGTTATTGAATATTTTTCATAAACATTTTTCTTAACGACTGTACAGTAATCCACTGCATGGAAATACTATAATTTATTTAACCAAGCCTCAAATAGATATTCACAGTTAGCTTCTAATTTTTTACAATTATAAGTCATACTGCAAATATAGTTTAAGCATTATGTTAAGTGAAAGAAATCATATGCAAAAGGCCACATATTATGAGTCCATTTATATGAAAAGTCCAGAATAGGCAAATCCATAGCGACGGACAATAAATCGGTGGTTACCAGAGGCTTAGGGACAGGGGAGAATGTGGAGTGACTGCTAATGGGTGTGGAATTTCTTTCTTTTTTTTTTCTCTTTTTTTTTATTTGGGCATATTATGGGGGTACAGATTTTAAGGTTTCAATAAATGCCCTTCCCCCCCCTCCCCCTAACAAGTCTGATTTGGGATTTCTTTTGAGGGTGATAAAAATGTTCTAGAATTAGACAGTGGCCATGACTGTACAACTCTGTAAATATACTAAAAGCCATTGAATTGTACACTTTAAAAGAGTAAATTTTATGGTATGTCAATTATATCTCAATTTAAAAACATATTTTTTGGATAAATCAATGTTTTCATTTTAGATTTTTTTAATCAAAATAGATTCCAAAAAGTAGGACTACTACAGCATAAGGTTAAACATTTTTAAGGCTCTCGATATACATGAGGGTAACAATGTTCTTTATAACAAGGTTAAAAATAATTCTGACACTTAAATCACTGACGGAATGACAAATATGTATATTAATATATTTTAAATCATTGTCATACATATATATGTGATACATATATTGTCATATGTGTGTATATGCCATGTATACATATATGACAATGATTTAGAAAGAGGTCTGATTTGAAATTTTAAATTTGATTAAAACATTTTAATTCAGATCTTTAGCTAAAAGAAACTTCTGGAGGGGAAAAAAGTAAATTTCAGCTGTAAAATGCACACTGAGTTCTTTTCTAAAAATGGAAACAATTATCTCTGGGTTTGTGCTGCATTCTCCTGACTCCTGCCCTTCCTCAGCTATTCCCTCTGTCTGTCTGCACTGCCCCTCTCTTCAGTAAGTGCTAGCTTCAGTCTTTCCTTCAAGGCTCTGCTCAGATGTCCTCTCTTCCCAGAAGCTCCCCCCTGTTCCTGTGGCCAGATGAATGCTTCCTTTTCTGTGTACTTCTCAGCCTCTGATGGGCCTCCTCATGGTCTTGCAGCTGAGGGGTGCAGGGTTCACCTCTCTGTTAATTCACACACTCACACATCTAAGTGCTTGCGGTGAGAGGCCTTGTTGCGCAGAGATGAAGAGCCTGCATCCTGCAGCCAGGCTACCTGGGTTCAAGTTCCAGCTCTGCTCTTGCCATGCTGTAAGACCTTGGCCAAGTTCTTAACCTGTCATGCCTCTGTTGCTTCATCAGTGTACTGGGGACAAAAGCTACACGCTTGCCTCACAAGATGCTCTGAGCATTAAGTGAGATAAGGAACCTGAAGAGCTGAGAGCAGTGCTAGCATATAGTGTTATGCAAAGGTTAGTGTTTTATGTGCTAGTCGTGTCACATGTGTCTCCTATTGTCTCTCCTCTACCTCCACCACTACATTTCTCTCTCTCTCTCTCTCTCTCTCTCACACACACACACACACACACACACACACACACACATCACATCACAGTGTACTTTTCTAGTCCTGATCATGGTCCTCCAGTAGCTCCCCATGGCCTTTAGATCAGCAGAGTGCGTTCTAAAGCCTGTTTGTTGGGGTCCAAATACCCTGTCTGGTGTGTGATTTGGGCAAGCTAATTAGCCTCTGAGAGCCTTTCACTGCCTTCATTTGGAAAATGGAGATATTAATAATACCTACGTCACAGGCTTATGAGGTATAACATGAGATACTGCTAAATAAGACCATGAACGTAAAATGCCAAAAATCATACTTTGTAGTTAATAAGTGTTCCAAAAATATTACATCATTACGATTATATGTGCTCAGTAAATCAGTAAATATTTGCTGGATTGAACTAGAAATGTTTCAGGCTATGTCCAGCAATAAAGAAGTAGTTTTCATAGGAAACTCTCACTGAATCATCCCTGCTAGGGTGACATCAAGTTGGCCCCTCTCTCTCTCCCTCCCTCCGCACCCCATCTTTCTCCTTTTCTCTCTCATGAACACAAAATTCTAAAATCTACCTCCAACTCGCTATGCATTTTTTCCTTTGAACAGTGAAGAAGCCTGTGTCAATTTATCTTTGACAGCAGCTCCTTGCTGAATTCACCCATGTCCATTAACGAGGACTTGGGAGGGAGCGGCCTCCGTGGAGGCCCACCTCAGATGACCCCCACTTAATGTGGACTGTGATTTCCCAAGACCGCTGCTCATTAGTAGCTACTCCTTATTACCTCCCATAGTTTAGACAGAAGATGAAACCGAAAGAGCTTTTCGCAAAGACTTGACCGAGACCGCAGAACTGAGCATCTGAGCCTGGCACTCGAGAAGGGAAGGGCGCTCGGCAGAGGCACCAAAGAGGAGAAACAGGCACCTTGTTCCACGGATTCCAAGACGTGCTTTGCTTTTCACATTTTAATGTTTGTGAATTGGAATGTGTCCATGTATATCTTTTGAGCACTGTGACTTTTCCATCTGCCTGAAAAGTTATCAAATTGACGGTGTATTGTATTTTTATTGATTGATTGATTGACTGATTCAGAGTCTCACTCTGTTGCCCAGGCTAGAGTGCCGTGGCATCAGCCTAGCTCACAGCAACCTCAAACTCCTAGGCTCAAGCAATCCTCCTGCCTCAGCCTCCCGAATAGCTGGGACTACAGGCATGCACCACCATGCCTGGCTAATTTTTTTTCTATATATTTTTAGTTGGCCAATTAATTTCTTTTTATTTTTAGTAGAGATGGGGTCTCGCTCTTGCTAAGGCTGGTTTCAAACTCCTGGCCTTGAGCAATCTTCCTGCCTCAGTCTCCCAGAGTGCTAGGATTACAGGCGTGAGCCACCGCGTCCGGCCAGATGGTGCATTTTAAAACTGAGGAATGTGGCACTTTTGAATTTTAAAAAGTTGCCCAAATATAAGAAAGCCTGCACCAACCTTTGACAAAAATAGTCCAGTCAGTTTAGCAGTATGGAATGGATGGATGAGATAATTCTTAATCACAGGGAAGAAAACAGACCTGAAGGCCTAGATGTCTGAGTCCCTGGCAGCCCTGCAGTCCTTGGTCAGGAGAATCCTGCCTGGCCCAGCAGTGGCACCTTCTCTTGGAAATAACCCAGTCAGAGCATAAGTACCTGGGGTGTGTCCCAACCCACCGCTGAAGGAGGTTGGGTGGGGAGGGGGAGAAATTCCAGGGTTTGGTTTCTTTTTCTTTGACTGGGAACCTTAGTTGTTCTTTGGGCTCTTTGAAAAGCAAAAGACTACATTTGCGAATAAAAGTGCTTGTAAGAATATACAGACGTTTGTTTTCTTACTGTAAGTTAAGCTGCTTGCTAATTAATTACTTAGTTAATTAATACAAGTACTTAACTGAGCAATACTATGTGCCTGGCCCATACTAGTCACTTTACAGATGTTGTCTCAAGAGATCACCTGAGTAACCCTTTGGGGTAGGTATTATAAGTCAGCCCCATTTCTCAGACCCAGAAACTGAGGCTCAGAGAAGAATGACTTCACTCAGTTCACACAGGTAGGAGTTGGCCCTGGTCTTTCCACCCCAGAACCCCTGCTCTTGCCATTGCCCACACAGCTCAATACAGCTTCAATGGTCGTTCTTTTCCTGGAGGAGAAAACCGAGGGCCACAGTGGGTGAGGTGGACTGGAACTTGGGCCCCTGAGTGTCCGTGAGAGGCTTGTTTTACAACTTTGTGTTGAAACCTTTGGGAGGGTAGAGAGCTATCTAGGGGGCGGGGCAAAAAATCAGGCCAGGCTTTCCCTGGAGATGGCTTCTTCCTTTACAAGCTTACTAAATCCAACAAAGCTGTACCCCCCCACACACACACACCACATCCCATGAGAACTACTGAGGCAGACAGCAAGATTTCATCATTGTGATTTACCTGAAGCTAGAAGACCAACCCACACCAGGATGACTTGACAATGCAGAGAAGGGTCACTTGTCTATGGAGTCCTAGCAGAGGCACAAACCTTCTCACCTGGGCTTCAGGAAGGATTTCTCCATGCCCAAACCCCTTTCATAATTAGTTGTAATTATTCTTGTCCTTTGTCCTCACCTGCACCAGTGGGAGCATACGTCTTTTAATCTGGGAGCCATTAGCATGGCAGAATAGCAAGGTCACCTGGATTAGCAGCTAATGGATTCTCTGCCCTTTGTTCTGATGATAATAGGATGGGACAATGAAATACTGTTCTGAGCTTCCGGGAGAGAATTTACTGGATTCAGGCTGGTATGTTTTGCAAATTAGGTGGCGACACAGACAGAAACCAGTTGTGATGCTTTCCTGTTCTTGGGCAGCTCTGGCAGTAGCTTGTTTCCTGTATCATCCGTCTCCAAAGGGGTCTCCCACCCCTCTGCCTCAGTGTCCCCAGGCCCCCACCTGGCTTACCTTGCAGCAGTGTGTAGAAGGCACCTGAGGCGGACAGGTTGGTGGTTATGGTGACATCATCCTTGCTTGAGGTCTCTACCTGGACATGCACTGAACTGTCTGTGTCACTTCGGAAACTGCTCACCTGGCCAGTAGGGAAGGTCACATTTGTCAGGCGGCCAAAGCTGTCATACCTGGAAACCAAAGGGGGGCACTGAGTAACAGAATTATAATGATGCTATGGCTTGAACTTGGCATGTTCTACCTCATGCCACAGTTTTGTGTGTTCTGCTTTTCTTTCTGGTCAGATACATTCTCATGTATTCTCCATCTCCTTCCACAGGACCATAGATTTCGGGATATGACTCCATCTGCTGAAATCCAACTGCAGAAAGATGACTGACCTCTCTGAGTCTTCCTTTCCTAATCCAAACAGTGGAGATGGTACCGCTGCCCTGCCCCCTGCCCAGGACTACCATGGAGGATGTGGGAAAGTGCCTGGTAGCTGCAAATTAGCATTCACTTGGAAGAGCTGGGATGATCCTGGCCATGAGGAGACAGCTGACCCAGTATCTTAGAACTGGGGGACTCCCCAGAATTGATATATAGTCAAACTCCAGTATGGTCTGCAAAATTCTGAAGAACCAGTTTTACAGGTTTTTCCTGAAAAACACTAGAGATGGGAACCATTACGCAGGGGATTCCCAGAAGATACAGATCCTGGGAAAAGGGGACTCAGAATTCAAACCAGGACTCAGGTCGCTAAGACTTGCAACCCTCCCCATATAGATTTCACATCTGGCACTAAGCGTCTATGTATCTGCAACTCTCAGAACCCACAGCTTTGGGCTGGTATGGTCTTTCTAAAGAATCATAATTGAATCTTAATTCTCTTTACCATTCTCCTGATAATAATAAAAGAAATATCTACCATGATTGAGCACCTCTAATGTACTAGGCATGGCACTAGTTGCTTTTCACACATTTTTATTTAATCCTCATTTAATACATTTTTCTTTTAATCCTCATTTAATCCAGTCTAAAAGGTATGTATTATCTCCTTTTTGGAGGATCAGAAATTGAAGCTCAGGAAAGTGAAGTCATCTGCTCAAGGTCACAGAGTTAATAAGTATGACAGAATCAAAATTCAATTTAAAATCTACTTGCTTCCAAGCCACCACCTGCCTCTCTGTCTCCAATGAACATTTCCACACCATCCATTTGCAAGTGTCCATTGCTCGTGCTCCTCCCTGCTGCAGATGTGGTTGGAAGAAGGCAGGAGTGGGCCATTAACATTTTAATTATTGGTTTTAATTAGGGGAGGCTGAAGTGTAAAAAGACAGGCTTAAATGTGTGTGAATGGGGGAAAGTTCTTCATCTACATGTCAATATTTCTGACTTCTGCTCCTGTGCAAGGCTGCAGTGTGGGGTCAGCTGGACATGTCTCCCCCATTTTTTTTTCTTTTTTACTGTTTTGGTTTTACTTCCGGAGTACAGTTGGCCTCTGGGTTCCTGTGAGGGTTTTAGCAATGGGGAAATGAAAGGCCAGATAGGTCAGCTCTATCTTGGCTCTTCCTGTGATTCCTTCCTGCTGGGCCTTGCTTCTTGCTGGGTCTCCTGGCTCTGCAGCGTGTATGGTTTCAGCTGAGACTCAGTGGGTGAGACTAGGCAGGCCTTTGCTGGGCAACTTGCTGCCCAGGACCAGACACTTGGGTGCTGCACTCCAGAGCCTGCCATTTGCCAGCTCTTTCTGTACCTGTGCCCGGCACAGATCACAGCACTCTTCACACCGAATGTAACAGTCCCTAGCACACTCTGCCCAGAGTAGGTGCTGGCAAAGGTCTTTTGAATGTGTCTCCTCAGTCCTTGGCCTAAGACCAATTCTTGGGGAAGGGCCGAGGGCCTTTGGGAAAGTTGAATCTCCATTGTGGAGGTGAGGAAGGGGAATGAAGCCCTTTCCAGGATGGCAGGCAATGCGGTGCTCTCTCTTACACTACCTAGGCAGGGCAAGGCTGTGGAACTGTACTGGGGCTCTATGACAGGCAGTTAGGGGGCTTTGAAATCCTTTTTCCTGTCATGACTTCTCCTCTCTCTTCTTTAGTACTGAGCCAGGTTCTTCCAGAAGGTCAGTCTGGCCTAGGTAGGCTGAAGCCTGGACTAGGTGGTCATAGGTGGAGTGTTCCTCAGAGCTGGGTGAGTGAAAGGACGGCACTGCTGATAAACTATCTAACAGAGAAAAAATGGGAGAAAAATCACAACACACAATTGCCCCTTTGTTTGCTTAACCACCTTTGGCTTAAATCGTTTTTTTCACAAGGCTGTTTTACAGAACTGGAACAGTACTGAGCAGACAGAAAGGGGCACGTAGCTCTCCTCCACATCTGCCAGAGCACAGTCTGAGAAGTCTGATAAAGCCAGTCTAGCAGAGAAGAAAAAACACAAATTGCCTCCTGTTATCATTTGCAACAATAACTGCTCTATCCTTTATCCCAATAAAAATAAATAAATAAATAAATTACTGGAATTCCTAGGAGAGTCTCACTTATAAGACAAGCTGCTAATAGCAATTTTTAGGCCTTTTCAGCAAAATATTGCTAGGGCACCCAAGTTTCTGAGCTAAAAAGCAAGACTCCAGGAACTAGTCTTTCCCTGGTCATCTTAACTATATCTGTGGTTCATGATTACACTGAGTCCTATCAGATCCTGAGACAATTTTTAAATCAGCAGGAAGATCGACTCCAGTCCAACAGTTTCATGGGATGGGGATGGTGTTCTAGTCTGATTCTTTGAGCACCTGTTACCCCTGTATATACTCTTTATTAAAATGAGACTATTCACTCAGACTATCTAATCTCCTGACCTAACCACATAAAAAAAGATTTTTATGGCTGCACATGGTAGCGCGCACCTGTAATTCTAGCACTGTGGGAGGCTAAGGTGGTAGGATCGGGTGAGCCCAGGAGTAGGAGACCAGGCTGAGCAACATAGTGAGATCCTATTTCAGGCCATGATGGCACATGCCTATAGTCCCAGCTAGTCAGGAGGCTGAGGCAGGAGGATTGCTTGCGCCCAGGAGTTTGAGGTTGTAGTGAGCCATGATGATGCCACTGTACTTTAGCCCAGGCAACAGAATGAAACTGTCTCAAAAATAAAACGAAACAAAAAAATCATTTTATTATGCCATGCAAGACGCTTAAAAAGTAGCATTAGAGTCTTACAAATAAAAACTGGTAGAGAGATTATTAACTAGGGGTCATATGTCACCTCAATACCACTTCTAACAAAGCCTTGTTCAAATGCCACCTCATAATGCCCTCCCTGGTCTCTCCCACTGATACCCTGTGCACACAGATCTATCCTAGAATGCCTCCCCTGCATTGCAGTGCTGACGTACAAGTTGTCTGCCTCTTCAGACTGTGAGTGCGTGAGGTCAGAACAGGTCTGTGGAGTCGGATCTCCAGGCTGGGAGCCTGGGTTCACCCTGCCTGGGTTCTGCCACCTGCCAGCAGCATGACCTGGGAGGACTGGCTCTCCGTTTGTATCTGCTTCCCCAGCACTGGGACTGGCATAGCGAAGACCACAGGGAATGTTGGCTGAACAAATAAATAAACGCAGGACTGGATGTGCAAGGCCTCTTTCCTGCTCCGGGGGAGAGGAGAGACCATGATTCATTCATACACTAGCTCTTGCAGGACTTGGCAGAAGCTGGACATACAGTAGGTACATGATAAACATCTGCTGAATGCACAAATATGGAAACAGTGCTCACTAAATGATGCTTTAGCAATCTCCCCAGAATTTTAGTCTTGAAGACAGAAAGAGGCTTTATATAAAGGCAGACAATTGTAATTATTATTGAAGGTAGCCTGTTATGCATAATTAAATTGAGCCTGAAGAAGAGACAATGAAAAGGCCCCATGCCATCAAGATCTGGTTTTCATTTTATATGAGATGGTCAAAAAAAAACAGTAATTTCCACCACTCACATTTTCCATTAGAAAGACTGAATGTCTTAATTAAATGAACATCAAATAGAACAACCAATTTAGAAAATTTTCCTGTCTCCTATTCATTCATTTCAGTATCTACCAGAGCTTGAGAAATGCCACTGGATCTCTCTGCTGCTTGATCAATACCTGTGATTATCCCATCAGAACCCTGTCTCTTCTGAGTCTGCATGGGAAGAACTGGACCTGCCCATCCTCTGGACCCTGCACACATTTGCCCCATGGGCCACCTCTGCAGAACCCTTTCTGCTCCACTAAAAGGGCTGCTAAGAGCTGCCCAACAAGATGCAGGGACCTGGAAGGGGCTCTAAGTGGCTGCTTCACACCCCAGTCCTGTGATTGTGTGGCTTCTGGACAATGGATTAGTTACATTTGTCATGGCAAGTTTTCTTTCTTTCTAACCAAGAGGAATAGAAGGAACAATTGGTATGGAGAGGTCTCTGGAGCCAGATGATATTGTGTTCCTCCTCACCTTCAAGTCCCCACCACAAATGATATCTTTGTAGCCGTTGTTATATAACAACCTTGTTAAGTCTATTTCCCCCTCTATAAATAAGGATAGTAGATACCTATCTCATAGACACACCGCAAAGACCAAAAGAGGTAAGTATTTAAAATGAAGTGCCAACTTCTTACCAGGGCCTTCAGGACCACAGGGGACTGTCCTCACTGGAATGTCAACCCCCTGAGGTCAGGAACTTCACTGGGTCTCTGCTGTATCCCCATAACTTAGAGTGTCTGGCATATAGGAGTTGCTTAATAATGTGAATGAATGAATGCTGGCCGAATGGCCTGGCTCTTTCCTGCCTCGCTTTCTGATTTCACCTTGAACCTGATTTCACTTGAATCTGATTTCACTTCACCTTATGTTCTGCATTTCCCTGCATCTGCCTCTGGTCCCCAAACGTGCCAAACTCAATTCATGCTGGGGGCGCTCAACACTTACTACTCCCTTTGCAGGAACGCCCTTTGCTCCAAAGTTGGTGTGGCTCGTTCCTTTCATCATTCACGTTTCAGTTCAAGTGTTACCACTTCAGTGAGATCTTCTCTGACCACCACTTCTAAAATAGATAGGTCTCCCCTCTGCACCACATTGTCCAACTTCATTGTCTTTACTATGCTTATTATCTTGTTTACTTGTTTGTTGTCTGTCTCCTTCTACTAGAATATAAGCTCCAGGGGCACAG